TGCCCTGACGACTTAGCCAATCATTCAAATCGTCGCACAGCAATTTCTTCCTTTCTGCTTGTTTCATAATAAGTTTCGCGCCAGCAATCATCTCCCGAATTACTCTCAGCACATTTTCCAGAACCAATGTTATCACGCTGTCATCAGCAATATCATGACGAAGAATTGGAGGACTAAAAATATGACCATTAAAAAATCGACTTGTGTTGTCAAGAAAACAGGGTCATAGAGTTCTCGCGAACGGAGTCCCTTTCTGAAAATGATTATAAATTGGTCGGGCGGGGGAGAGGAAGCGGGAGGGAAGAAAGGGAAGAGGGGGCTAACAGTAAAAAAAACCTCATCGAAGAAGCGAAACACCAAAATGTATCATGCGTTAGCATCCTGCTGTCTGTATCTTCGTTAGTTTGCATCTGCAAATATTCAAGAGATGAAACACAGACCGTTCTTTAACACATCCATCGGCACATTCGATATTTGGGTTGATCTCTGATCTTAATATTTCCATTGGACAAGAATTAGCAGTCAAATTTGGGGAAAAAGGATGGGCAAAAGTTACGCCTGATTCACAGAAAAAGTGAGAAGCAGTTTATCTAGGAAAGTTGAAAATAAAGCTAACTTAAGTCAACAAGATCACCGAAACCCTCTGAACAATCGGTGTGGTAGCTCAGTGTTAAATGATGTTACTGGCGTGTAGGAACACGCCAAGTGGAGCCAAATTAGGCTCTGAGAGGAAATATTTGGCCACTTTTTCAACCCTCAAATCTAAACCAGGACAAAATTTACGGAGTACAGAGATGCGGACGCCGGATGGAGAAGATACGAGAAGTGAAGAGAAGGAAAGTAAGGAATAAGTAGAAACTAATCGTCCTTAACTGTACAGATCAGCCTAAAAATAATCCGAAATTTTACCTTTTCAACGGAAGATTGAAGGAATTCTTGCTGCTGCTGCTGCTCTGGCCTGTTCACAACAAATTCATCACCGATTTTGCTTTTGTCGTCCGACTGACCAGATGTACCTCCAAATAAACCACATGTCGTACTTAACAGTAACAAGAAAGAAGGCGAGAAGCATAGTTCGTACTGCTTTGACCAAAGCTGCAACGTCTGATGGTCAGTCTGATGACGATATTAACTCAAACGATAGCATGTTTACGCGGAATTTGGAAAAGCCTCCTACCCCGTAAGATACCTCATCATTATGGTCTCTTGGCGGGTGGAAGGCTGCACTGATGATTCCCACTCCTACCGCGCATGTAAAATTTGATTTGTGTTTACAGCTAAGGGATGAAACACAGATTGCATCCTAAAATATCTTCTTATAAATGACACTCAATCCAGTACCTTTCATTTTACAGTTTTCAATAAGTGGAGGTGTGCAATTTAGGGTGGAAGAACCTGGCACTGGTGTGCCCGAAGTGTGGGGGAATCTCAGAACCACTAAATCTCCTCAGTCAAATGTCCTAGCATCTCACTGGTCAATAAGAATTAGAAAAAAAAAAACGTTTTAGCAGAAATAATGAAGGAACAATACAGTCACAATTTGAAAATTCTTTAGAGAAAAAAGCTGCCAATTTTATGTCAAAAGTAACACCTCTTCCGTATTTACTCTCCCCGAGAAGTAAAGACATTCGGAAATTAGTCAGTGCGGGGTAGCAGCAAATGTCAACAAATAAGTACCCTCTGGCAAGACTTTTAACGAGTTCCCCTTTCGAGGACTGCTTACAAGCAAGCTGATGACGGGTTTGACTCTCCAGCAGCACATGCCAGTACCAATTTACCATCGAAACGAATGAATGAATCGTCGTAGAGCGACGGGCTGTCCCAGTGGGCGGAGTTGAACGACGAGAAATTGCCACGCCCCCGCGCCCTGCTGGCCAGTAATTTTAAGTGAAAATTATTATAATTTATGCAAATCAAATCTTACCAGGCATATCATGCGGTGTACCGATGCGTGGTCGTTTTGGTGGTTCTGGTGGTATTTCACTGCTTCTACCCGGTTCTTCCGATTCCGCTGATATCATATTCGACGTGTAAGCTTTCTTGTCCTGTGCTATTTGTTTTCTTGTGGCTATTTCTAAAAGTCAAACTTAAGACCCTCTTCGTATTCACTTTCCGTGAAAGGTGAAGGTTACTGGAAGGAAGAGAGGGGGAAGGGGTGGGACGGGGGAGGGAGAGGGCAGGGATCATCAGGTTATCCCGGAAAAATAATTCGATAAAATTACCCTTCCAAAATATTGGCCCTGGCACCGGGAATTTCCTGAGACATGACCTGTCCACGGAAATCGGACCTATAAACGGCAAAAAGCTCCCTTGGAACAACAATTCATCAGAAAAAACCTGCGAAAAGCCGGCAAGAACTGGAAATGAAAAATGAATCCTGAATATGGCCTGGGGTCGGGCGACGCTTGGATGAGTTGTGCCTAAAAATCATGCTGGTCAGATTCTGGCGAAATTCCGTGTCCAAGCAATGTATGTGTTTTGGAATTTTTTTTTTTTTTTTGTTTCTGAACAAGTTTTTACGCTTTTCGTAACCCTCGTCAGATTTTGTTCGTTTAAAATCTCGGCCGATTCCAGAAATCCCCTTCTACTAAGCTACATGATTCAAGGGAGCGTTTTCCCCAGGAACGGTTGGTACTGGAAACTTCCTATATTCTTGGGATATGGGAATTTCCAGGACCAGGCGTTTTTTTTCCAGGGGAAAACTGTTTCCATGAATCTTCACGCCACTCCTTCCCCTCAGAAAAGGTAATTCCCGAAACCCCTTACCCTCAAAAGGAACGTCCCCAGGACCCTGGCCGCTCCGGGATGACCCACATCAACCCCGCCGCACCACTCCCCC